GATCAAATATTAACCCGCCAGCGATGAGCCTCAGTGTCACCCGACGGGCGTCGAGTCTTGCAACCCTGGTGTTGGGAAAGGGACGGCCACTGCATCTTCACTGGAGACGACCGTTCTCGTCGAACCCTCTGAAGGATGAACTCGTGGCACTTGAATTTTGCGCTTTACTGTGAGTGCTCCAACGCCTCTTCAGTGTTGCAGAATAGCCTTGGTTGCAGGTTGCGAGCCATGACGAACGCTGTCCTGCAGGTGGAAGGGACGGTAGGCTAGACGTTGAACTCTGTCTAGTAGGTCCAAGCACGCCTTTTAGGCTGACAAACGTGACAAAGATGCATTTTCCTGAAAGGAACGGACTAGGCCATCGTTGAACACTTCTAAGCCACGGGCGTCAAGGAGTGTTTGATTCGTCTTAGGAATGCAACTCCAGTTGAAGTTCTCTTGACAATTTCCTTCAGAGGTGTGTCAAGCTTGAGGCAGTGATCAAAGCATACTCCTACTCCTGGTCATCTGTAATACAATACACGCTTTCTCTCTCACTCCCTCTCTCCCTTTCTATATTTTTCTTCTCTCCTCTCCTTCTCTCCGTCTCTTTTTCTTTCTTTCTCTCCTCTCTTTCTCTACCCCTCCACCGTCTCTCTTTACTTTAATTGCACGGTTGCAATGGTATCCGACCGTTGCATCGAATTGCATCTGCTTCGACCCGAACGCACTTCGCTCGGTCACTTACAATTGTCATTGAAGCCAGGGAGTCTCTCTGGCACGCTGACACAGTCCCGCGCAGCGACGTTTTGTGACCAGGTCGATCGGGGCCTTTCTTGGGGGCCCTTCTTGGGGCGGAGAAGAGCCCAGGGGCTCAAGGGCTGGTCCCTGTGTGAAAGCCTCCCCCCCCCCTTCCACCTCCCATCTTGCCCTTCCCCTCCCCCTCCTCGTCCCCTCTCCCCTCCCCCTCCTCGTCCCCTCTCCCCTCCCCCTCCTCGTCCCCTCTCCCCTCCCCCTCCTCGTCCCCTCTCCCCTCCCCCTCCTCGTCCCCTCTCCCCTCCCCCTCCTCGTCCCCTCTCCCCTCCCCCTCCTCGTCCCCTCTCCCCTCCCCCTCCTCGTCCCCTCTCCCCTCCCCCTCCTCGTCCCCTCTCCCCTCCCCCTCCTCGTCCCCTCTCCCCTCCCCCTCCTCGTCCCCTCTCCCCTCCCCCTCCTCGTCCCCTCTCCCCTCCCCCTCCTCGTCCCCTCTCCCCTCCCCCTCCTCGTCCCCTCTCCCCTCCCCCTCCTCGTCCCCTCTCCCCTCCCCCTCCTCGTCCCCTCTCCCCTCCCCCTCCTCGTCCCCTCTCCCCTCCCCCTCCTCGTCCCCTCTCCCCTCCCCCTCCTCGTCCCCTCTCCCCTCCCCCTCCTCGTCCCCTCTCCCCTCCCCCTCCTCGTCCCCTCTCCCCTCCCCCTCCTCGTCCCCTCTCCCCTCCCCCTCCTCGTCCCCTCTCCCCTCCCCCTCCTCGTCCCCTCTCCCCTCCCCCTCCTCGTCCCCTCTCCCCTCCCCCTCCTCGTCCCCTCTCCCCTCCCCCTCCTCGTCCCCTCTCCCCTCCCCCTCCTCGTCCCCTCTCCCCTCCCCCTCCTCGTCCCCTCTCCCCTCCCCCTCCTCGTCCCCTCTCCCCTCCCCCTCCTCGTCCCCTCTCCCCTCCCCCTCCTCGTCCCCTCTCCCCTCCCCCTCCTCGTCCCCTCTCCCCTCCCCCTCCTCGTCCCCTCTCCCCTCCCCCTCCTCGTCCCCTCTCCCCTCCCCCTCCTCGTCCCCTCTCCCCTCCCCCTCCTCGTCCCCTCTCCCCTCCCCCTCCTCGTCCCCTCTCCCCTCCCCCTCCTCGTCCCCTCTCCCCTCCCCCTCCTCGTCCCCTCTCCCCTCCCCCTCCTCGTCCCCTCTCCCCTCCCCCTCCTCGTCCCCTCTCCCCTCCCCCTCCTCGTCCCCTCTCCCCTCCCCCTCCTCGTCCCCTCTCCCCTCCCCCTCCTCGTCCCCTCTCCCCTCCCCCTCCTCGTCCCCTTCCTCCTTCCCTTTTTTTCCCCTTCTTCCTTTCCTTCTGTTTCCCTTCTTCCTTTCCTTCTGTTTCCCTTCTTCCTTTCCTTCTGTTTCCCTTCTTCCTTTCCTTCTGTTTCCCTTCTTCCTTTCCTTCTGTTTCCCTTCTTCCTTTCCTTCTGTTTCCCTTCTTCCTTTCCTTCTGTTTCCCTTCTTCCTTTCCTTCTGTTTCCCTTCTTCCTTTCCTTCTGTTTCCCTTCTTCCTTTCCTTCTGTTTCCCTTCTTCCTTTCCTTCTGTTTCCCTTCTTCCTTTCCTTCTGTTTCCCTTCTTCCTTTCCTTCTGTTTCCCTTCTTCCTTTCCTTCTGTTTCCCTTCTTCCTTTCCTTCTGTTTCCCTTCTTCCTTTCCTTCTGTTTCCCTTCTTCCTTTCCTTCTGTTTCCCTTCTTCCTTTCCTTCTGTTTCCCTTCTTCCTTTCCTTCTGTTTCCCTTCTTCCTTTCCTTCTGTTTCCCTTCTTCCTTTCCTTCTGTTTCCCTTCTTCCTTTCCTTCTGTTTCCCTTCTTCCTTTCCTTCTGTTTCCCTTCTTCCTTTCCTTCTGTTTCCCTTCTTCCTTTCCTTCTGTTTCCCTTCTTCCTTTCCTTCTGTTTCCCTTCTTCCTTTCCTTCTGTTTCCCTTCTTCCTTTCCTTCTGTTTCCCTTCTTCCTTTCCTTCTGTTTCCCTTCTTCCTTTCCTTCTGTTTCCCTTCTTCCTTTCCTTCTGTTTCCCTTCTTCCTTTCCTTCTGTTTCCCTTCTTCCTTTCCTTCTGTTTCCCTTCTTCCTTTCCTTCTGTTTCCCTTCTTCCTTTCCTTCTGTTTCCCTTCTTCCTTTCCTTCTGTTTCCCTTCTTCCTTTCCTTCTGTTTCCCTTCTTCCTTTCCTTCTGTTTCCCTTCTTCCTTTCCTTCTGTTTCCCTTCTTCCTTTCCTTCTGTTTCCCTTCTTCCTTTCCTTCTGTTTCCCTTCTTCCTTTCCTTCTGTTTCCCTTCTTCCTTTCCTTCTGTTTCCCTTCTTCCTTTCCTTCTGTTTCCCTTCTTCCTTTCCTTCTGTTTCCCTTCTTCCTTTCCTTCTGTTTCCCTTCTTCCTTTCCTTCTGTTTCCCTTCTTCCTTTCCTTCTGTTTCCCTTCTTCCTTTCCTTCTGTTTCCCTTCTTCCTTTCCTTCTGTTTCCCTTCTTCCTTTCCTTCTGTTTCCCTTCTTCCTTTCCTTCTGTTTCCCTTCTTCCTTTCCTTCTGTTTCCCTTCTTCCTTTCCTTCTGTTTCCCTTCTTCCTTTCCTTCTGTTTCCCTTCTTCCTTTCCTTCTGTTTCCCTTCTTCCTTTCCTTCTGTTTCCCTTCTTCCTTTCCTTCTGTTTCCCTTCTTCCTTTCCTTCTGTTTCCCTTCTTCCTTTCCTTCTGTTTCCCTTCTTCCTTTCCTTCTGTTTCCCTTCTTCCTTTCCTTCTGTTTCCCTTCTTCCTTTCCTTCTGTTTCCCTTCTTCCTTTCCTTCTGTTTCCCTTCTTCCTTTCCTTCTGTTTCCCTTCTTCCTTTCCTTCTGTTTCCCTTCTTCCTTTCCTTCTGTTTCCCTTCTTCCTTTCCTTCTGTTTCCCTTCTTCCTTTCCTTCTGTTTCCCTTCTTCCTTTCCTTCTGTTTCCCTTCTTCCTTTCCTTCTGTTTCCCTTCTTCCTTTCCTTCTGTTTCCCTTCTTCCTTTCCTTCTGTTTCCCTTCTTCCTTTCCTTCTGTTTCCCTTCTTCCTTTCCTTCTGTTTCCCTTCTTCCTTTCCTTCTGTTTCCCTTCTTCCTTTCCTTCTGTTTCCCTTCTTCCTTTCCTTCTGTTTCCCTTCTTCCTTTCCTTCTTTTTTCTCTTCCTTCTTTCCTTTTTTCCCTTCCTCTTTTCCTTTTTTTCTTTCCTCCTTTCCTTTTTTCTTTCCTCCTTTCCTCTTTTCTTTTCCCCTTCCTCCTTCCCTTTTTTTTCCCTTCCTCCTCTCCTTCTTTTTCCCTTCTTCCTTTCCTTCTGTTTCCCTTCTTCCTTTCCTTCTGTTTCCCTTCTTCCTTTCCTTCTGTTTCCCTTCCTCCTTTCTTGTTTGTTTTTTTCCATTCTTCCTTTCTTCATTTTCTTCCTTCCTTCTGTCCAATTCTCTCTCCCCATATAGTCGTAAACATGACCCGCCTCCGCTCGCCCTTTCCAGAAAACGGACATCATGTGCGAGCTGGTGGAGGACCTGCAGCTCAAGATCAAGGAGTTCCTGCACCCGAACCCGGCCTCCCGCGCCAAGATGTCCGCCGTGAAGGGCATCGGCAAGCTCTCGGGTCAAGCCAAGGCCGCCACCTACCCGCAGCCGGAGGGCGTGCTCGGGGAGACGCTCATCACCTTCGGCAAGAAGATCGGCGAGGAGAACCTCTACGGTGAGTGGGGGAGGGGGAGGGGGGAGGGGAGGGTAATGAGGATGGGTCATGGGGGAGAAGGGAAGAAAAAGAAGGGAAGGAGAAAAACGAAAGGGAGAGAGAGAGAGATAGAAAAAGAAGGGAATGGAGAGTAGGAGAGGGAAAAAGAGTGGGGAGAATTAGGAAGATGGGGGTGAAGAACAAGTTTGAGGAAGGGAATCAAGGAGGGGGATTGGGTGAAAGGCAATAGTGGAGGGGTTGAGATAGCACTAGTGAGAGAAAAGGTAGGGTGAAAGGTAGGGTGAAGGGCAGGGGTAGGGACATGGGGAAAAGGGAGCATTAAGAGGGGAAAGGAAGTAGGGAAGAAAGAAAGGACTAGGAAGGAAAAGGAAGTAGAGAAGAAAGAAAGGACTAGGAGGGAAAAAGAATTAGAGAAGAAAGAAAGGACTAGGAAGGGAAAGGAAGTAGGGAGGAAAGAAAGGACTAGGAGTGAAAAGGAAGTAGAGAAGAAAAAAAAATAGAAAGAGTGGGGAAGGGAATTAGAAGAGAGTGAGTTGGGAGGGAGAGCATGTACAGTTAGATAGAAACAAATAAGCAAAGACAGGGAAAGGGAGGGGAAGATATG